AATGGTTTTTTGCCTGAATAAAAAAAAAATTAACGCCCCATGCTAGGCTCGAACCAAAAACTTTTCGCTTTGAGTGCACTAAACAGGTAGCCTACCTAACTGAGCTATCACCACTACACATGTATAAATGTTTTTAAAAGGACAAAGATGCACCACATTGACACGTTTGGATTTTTGGGGGAAAAGTTCATTTTTCGTGGTCTCTAGGTCTTCTCTCCATTTTTTAAAAAAGTGTAGTGTACTACCTGAGGATGATTCCACATGAGTTTCACCTTTCCTGGCCTAGGGGTTCTTGTGAAGAAGATTTTTAAAGATTTTTCCTATATATTCCTATATAAAACATTGATCGAACATTATGGCCCCACCATAGCCCCAGGGGTCATGATTTGAACAAACTTGAATGTACACAACCTGAGGATGATTGCACATGAGTTCCATCTTTCCTGTGCCTATGGATCATGAGAAGAAGTTTTTTTCTACATATTCCTATGTAAAAATTTGATCGGCCATTTTTGCCTCACCCTACCCCCGGGGTCATCATTTGCACAAATTTGAATCTACACTATCTGAGGATGATTCCAAATGAGTTTCATCTTTCCTGTCCCAGTGGTTCTTGAGAAGAAGATTTTTAAAGATTTTTCCTATATATTCCTATGTAAAAGTTTGATCGGCCATTTTGGCCCCACCCTACCCCCGGGGCTCATGATGTGAACAAACTTGAATCTACACTACCTGAGGATGATTCCACATGAGTTTCATCTTTCCTGGCCAAGTAGTTCTTGAGCAGAAGATTTTAAAAGATTTTTCTTATATATTTCTATATAAAACTTTGATCTGCCATTGTGGCCACACCCTACCCCCCGGGGTCATGATTTGAACAAACTTGAATTTACACTACTTGAGGATGCTTCCCTATAAGTTTCATCTTTCCTGGCACAGTGGTTCTTGAGAAGAAGATTTTTAAAGAATTTTCCTATTTATTTCTATGTAAAACTTTGATCGGCCGTTGTGGCCACACCCTTCCCCCGGGGTCATGATTTGAACAAATTTGAATTTACACTACCTGAGGATGCTTCCATATAAGTTTCATCTTTCCTGGCACAGTGGTTCTTGAGAAGAAGATTTTTAAAACATACCATCAAATTTTCACTATTTCTTAATTATCTCCCCTTGAATAAGGGCGTGGCCCTTCACCTAAGGATACTTTGTGCCAAGTTTGGTTGAAATTGGCCCAGTGGTTCTTGAGAAGAAGACAAAAATGTGAAAAGTTAACGACAACAACGACGACGACAACAACGACGACGACAGACAACGGACAAATTTTGATCAGAAAAGCTCACTTGAGCCTTCGGCTCAGGTGAGCTAAAAATTCTTCTTCACACCCTATTACAGGCAACTGGGACAACAGACAGCAGTTATTTTTTGCTATGACAGAGAACTAATTGATATATGTTTGACTATTTATCATAATTTATTATATTCATTTACTTTTTTTGGTGTTTTCCAGTTTTGGCCTTACTTTAAACTATTTTTCTGTTGAATACAAAATTATGATTTTGTATAAAAACAAAACAAGCAAATTCAAAGAATTTTGGTCCCCCGCTTTCTGTGTCTTTGTGAGTGGGATGTCATTTTTTATTATATATTTTGTAAAATCTTGTCAAAAATAATGCACATGTCAGATATGAAAGCCCTATCTCTTCTCAATCAAAAGTTATAAGGAAGTGAACCTGATGATCCCGTATGACAAAATAGATTATATATATTGGTAGTTTCTTAAGAAAAGTCTTGCCACAAGTATAACATACTTGAAGTATGAAAGCCCTTGTCCAAACCGTTCAAAAGTTATGGCCAAGGTTAGTTTAAAAAAAAAGTAGGTCTAACTCCAAGGTCAAGGTCAAAGGGTCAAAATTCTTGGTATCCAATGAAAGGTCTCCTCACAATGATTACAGATGTGAAGTATGAAAGCCCTAGCCCTTACCATTCAAAAGTTAAGGCCAAGGACAAAGTTTTTTCATAAGTACGGAAATCTCAAAGGTCAAGGTCGAAAGGTCAAAATTCTTGGTATCCAATGAGAGGTCCTGCCACAAAGAATAAATATGTGAAATATGAAAGCCCTAGTATCTACCATTCAAAAGTTATGGCCAAAGTAAAATTTTGGAATTTTTGTGTAAAAGTAGGTCAAACTCCAAGGTCAAGGTCAAATTTTGTGGTACCCTAAGAAGGGTCTTGTCACTAGAAAAACACATGTGAAATATGAAAGTCATAGCTCCACTAATCAAAAGTTATGAGGAAGGTTAAAGTTTTTGTGATGGACAGACAGACTGACTGACTGACATACTGACAGACGAATGAGATTTAATGTCCCCTCGCTTATAGGTCACCTGAGCATTATGCAACAACTTATGCAACAGTGATTGAATTTGATTCATTTTCTAACCAGATGCCATGGCATTCACAATTTTGAAAGAGACACCATTGATCATCATAACAATACAAGCTGTTGCTTAGTTTGTTTACTTCATACCCATACACAGGATAGGGGAACATTGAATTTCAGCTAATCAGTAATATTCAGCAATAATCAGTTGTGCCCTACCACACATGAACCCCTAAGCCTTAGGCCTTGATATTTGATTAACACCAAGGAGCAGATTTCAAACCATTCATTTATTTTCAGTATATAAGTATAGCCCCCCTCTATGGTACCCCTGACCCTGGGGCCTTGAAATTCACAATTCTGGAAGATTAGGGTCCTTGTCCATCATAACTATAAAGGTAGTTCATCTGCTAAATACCCTTGAGCAGAGAAGAAAATTTTCAAAGAATTCATGTATTTCACTATATTATCAAAAGAGCTCCGCCCTAACACGAGAACCCCTGACCCTGGGGCCATAAAATTTACAATTTTGGTAGAGACATTCCTGCTCATCATAACTTTGTACTTCGTTAGTTTATTTAATTCCTAGGAGCAGAGAAGAAGATTTTCAAAGAATTCATGTATTTCCACTATATAATCTATAGAGCCCCGCCCTAACACCAGAAACCCTGACCCTGTGGACATAAAATTCATAATTTTGGTAGAGGCACTCTTGCTCATCATAACTATGCACTTAGTTATTTTAATACCTAGGAGCAGAGAAGAAGGTTTTCAAAGAATTCATGTACTTCCACAATATAATCAATAGAGCCCACCCTAACACCAGAACCCCTGACCCTGAGGCCATAAAATTCACAATTTTGGTAGAGACACTCTTGTTCATCATAACTATGCATTTAGTTAGTTTATTTAAAACCCAGGAGCAGAGAAGAAGATTTTCAAAGAATTCATGTATTATCACAATATAATCAATAGAGCCCTGCCCTAACATCAAAACCCCTGACACTGGGGTGTTGAAATTCAAAATTTTGGTAGAGGCACTCTTGATCATCATTACTATGTACTTAGTTAGTTTATTTTATACCCAGGAGCAGAGAAGAAGATGTTCAAAGAATTCATGTATTTTCACTATATTATTAATAGAGTCCCGCCCTAACACCAGAACCCCTGACCCTGGGGCCATAAAATTCACAATTTTGGTAGAGGCCTTTTGCTCATCATAACTATGTACTTAGTTGGTTTATTTAATACCGAGGAGCAGAGAAGAAGATTTTCAAAGAAATAATGCATTTTTACTACCTGCTTATTTAGCCCAGCCCTAGCACTAGAACCCTTGAACCCAGGGCCATGAATTTTACAATTTTGGTAAAGGACTCATTGCTGATTAAAATCATGCAAACAGTTTGACTGCTTGATGTCCAGGAGTAAAGAAGAAGATTTTGAAAGATTGCAATAATTTTAGTGGTTTTGGCCCCACCCCTCCGGCCCCAGGGGGGCAGGGATCATGACATTCATAATTTTTGTTCCCCTTCAAACATAGATGCTTTGTGTCAAATTTGGTTGAAATTGGTTCAGTGGTTGCAGAGAAGAAGCTGAAAATGTTCAAATGTTAACGCACAACGCACGACGCACGACAACGGACGAAAACGGATAGCAATAGATCACCTGAGTTTACTCAGATGACTAATAAGAACAGAATTATTATTCATGTATAATTCTCATTTCTACAAGCCAGAATACTTACATCTTTAGATTTTTTCTCCGTGTGTGTGACAACAAGAAACAGTGGTGCCTTTTTACCTCCAAATGTCTTGATTGAGGTTATCCAAAACTTCAAGTAGTCTAAAATAACCAAAGGGGTGCAAGACTAAAGGAACAAATAAAGCATAATAATAAAACTAGAAGTCTCTAATGAGACTGTAGCTTTACTGGTTAGTACTTACAGCAAGGGAAAAGAAAAGTAGCACTTGGTTTTAAATTCTTGCAATAAAAATATATATAATGAATATTTCTAAGTGTTTTGTCTATATGTGTGCAATGTTACATTGAAATCAGACCAAAATTGTAGGAGGAGTAGCATTTTAAAAATATTTCACAGAAATTTCTATCTTTAATAAACATTGCAACACTATTCATTGAAATCAAAATCCCATATAAAGAATTATGTATCATAGTGCAGTCCAGGTGTTCCAAGTTATACTGTAATCAGCCAAACCTCAGGGAGGAGTAGCATTTTGAAAATGTTTTTACTGACGGACAGACAACTAACTAGACAGACAGACGGACAGATGACGGATACCTTACTTTTGCATAATCTTTTTCGGTGTCTGATCAGTAAAGCTAAAAACAAACAGGTTTGTCTGATAGGGGTAAGATCTACAGTCTTTTACTTACAACCATGAAAAAAAAATGTTGAATCAGAACTTCATTCATTACTTTTTTTTGTTTTTACTCTACTCTTTGACTAACAGAGAGAATTTATGAAATAATTATTTCCAAAACATAAAATTATTTGAAAAATAATATGAACTGTAGGATATGTGGTAGTTGAATTTTAAACATAATTTTACATATCTTCCTTCAGTAACTACGGCATTTGATTTCTACGACAACTGATTTGGAGAAAATAAATATATATCATGATGGTTTGACACTCAGTCCTCTGCTTTTCCAATTTATCTTAAGGGTTAAATCACTAGAACAAGATAGCAGGAAGCCATGTACATGTATCTAACACTACCACATGATCACATACATATATTATAATAATTATACATGTATATATTTTATATACAATAGCTGTAGAGTTTAATGATTTTTGATGTAGCATGTTATTTAATTCTGACCACTATAAGTTGAAAATAACTGCAATGTTGACCTATAAATGCCATGGGACAATACATTATTTTTATTAGGGCTTAGAGGGAAGTTTTAAATGATGCAAAGGATTTTTCACAAACTCTCATAGCAAAGTACTGAGAGGGCCAAAGGTTTGTATAGAGTTCTATGGGAAAATAATAAGTGGTCTTTTCCCTATCACCGCTTCGATAAATTGCCATGTTTCATCTAAGTCACGTACATGTTTGACGAATATGCTTGCATGCCATACAAATAATCAAGGTTAATAGAGCGTTTGTTTAGAAACTGAAAGTTCATACAAAGTAAAACTGAAATGTGATTATGTTCCAGTGAAAAAATTCCATGTCATGTGGGCAACCAGTAGTCTGTTTTACAAAAGAATTTGTGACTAAGACACAAAAAACTTCATATTAATAAAAAAAATACGCAAAATTAATGATTCTGTTTAAAATTGCCAATGTTAACTAGAACTGTCCAATAGGGACAAATACCCCCCGCTGGGTTTTTCAGAGAAGGTGCCATTTCAAAAATACTTAATGGATCTAGAGGTGTTCACAATTTATATACATGTACTTACAAAAATTTGCAGTGAAAATAATCGTCATCATGTCTCTTAATGAATGAAACAAAGGTGCAAACAAATGAAACATCAATACTACATGTAATACATTGTAATTCCATAGTAACATTTTTTTTTTTTTTTTTTCATTTAATTTTTTTTTTATTTCTGAATTAAAAAAATAAATTGCAAATATGTGTTATGTCACTCTGCAAACTGAATGTTGAAAAAAAAACCATTACACAAAATCAAATTAATCTTGATATATCAATTTGAAGTGCATTTTGAAAATAAAGAGCTGGTCATCCAGTAATGAAGTTCTTTGACAGACAATAAATTACAATAATTTATTATGGAATAAGAGAAGAGAGATCTTTAATTCTTGTGCCTTATTCCCTGGAGATTAAATAACACACACACGCTTGATAAGAGATATGCCTTAACAACTTCCAACACCAAACTCATTAATTTATTTTTAACTGGATGCATGTCCAGTCATTATTCCCAAGAGACAAATGAAATTACATTATCTTCTGTGCAATGTAATAACTGTTTTTAACACTTGATGGTGTTTCTTTTTTTTAAGCTTTTATGAGTAGTTTTAAGCTGTAGTATTTTTGAACAGATATTCTAGATTCTATATCTCAAACCTTATACAGAGGCCAAAATGAACAAGTCAATTAAAATAAAAAAAATAAAACCTGTAAAATGCAAAAAAAAAATAACAAAAAGAGTTGAAAATTCCAGGTGCACACCTTCATATGGTGAATACCGTAAATCTGGAAATTTTTACTGTAGATAAATTTTTAGCAAATTTGCGCGCGTGCATTGCATTCGCAAAAATATTTTTCTTAAATATAAATCAATATGTGAAGAATATTTTTTCTGAGGACTTGTGTCTTTTTTTTAACTCGGTGAATAGGCGTCGGAAAGCACTGGTCATTTTTAAAAGGAACATGTTTACACTAGTCTACTATATAACTACAAGTTAATTACCCATGCATGTAAATTGTCCTCATTATATGCAATATCGTCCGATGATTTGACAAGCACTGAGGTGGTATGCCCCTTTTTAATTATTTTCATCAATTAATTTGCCAATAAAGAGAGAACTGTCCTTTTATCTAACCGCGTATCAACACGGGCGATAACTCAAACTCAGTGCATTTATTAGATAGTACCAAATGTAAATGCAGCGTGTAAATTTTAGGTGAGAAAAAAAAGAAACGTTGAGAAAATAAGTTATATTTTTTCTTCATTTGGATTATACTTTAGGTCAAAAGGCATACACAACCTCTAAAATGTTTGTTATAATTGATTTAAAACTACGATTTTGCAATATCTTGCCACGTTGTGAATAAATTGGTGGTATTCTAACTGGGCATATTATTTGAAACATAACCTGATCTGAAAATCTACAATGATATTTATTTTTAGCACCAGTGACAATTCGCAAAAATTTGAAGCGTAAAAATTAATCAACAGCTTTTTGACCAAAATTCGCAAAAATAAATCGACGTATAAATTTCCAGATTTACGGTAATAAGTGTACAAATTTTCTGATTAATCCTTGTAATAGTTTTTGAGAAACGATCCGGACAAAACCACAAAATAAAAATTAAAAAAAAAAAAACACCTGCAAAATTAAAAATAATAATCGAATCAAGATGAAAATATCAAATGCACAACTTCATATGGTGAATAATATGTGTACAAATTTTCAGACAAATCCTTCCAATAGTTTCTGAGTAATGGTCCGGACAAAATCTTGTCTACAGACAGACAGACGGACAGACGGACATGGTGATTCCAATATACCCCCCCCCCCTAAACTTCGTTTGCGGGGGGGTATAAAAATAGGTTACTTCATTCCTTTTAAAAAGATGAAACCTTTTATAATATATTGAATTTATAAAAAGAATTAATCTTCATCGTAAGTTCTTTTTTAAAAAAATCTAATCGCCAACAGTAAATTTTATCTGCTTTTGTAAGTGAGTGAGTGGTAATCCACAACCCTGCCTATGACGCATCAATTGAAAAAGTTTAATGAGCATAGGCCTGAAATTGTTCAAAATATGATTGATAGATTGATTGTATGTTGTTTAATGTCCCTCTCGAGAATGTTTCACTGATAAGAAGACGCAACCATTTCTCGAGGGAGAGCTACAAATTTTGTCCTATGCTCGGCACTTACGGCCATTGAGCAGTGAGGGATCTTTTTCGTGCCAGCATCTACTGCGACACGGGGTCTCGGTTTATACGGTCTCATACGAAGGACCAGTCTCCATGTCCCGCAGTGGTATTCGAACCCGCGATGTAAGGAGTGACTCCTTACTTCGCGACTCTAGAGCAGATGCTCTAACCACTGCGCCACGTGGGCGACATTCAAAATATGCCTCTAAATCATTTTGAAAAAGAATGGCCACAATATTCAAATAGCAAGTCAACTTGACCTACTTTTGAGTCATACATGATATGAGGTCCTTAGATGCATCAACTGACAAAATTTGATGATCCTATCACATGCAAAAGTGACTCACATAAATTTTATTCAAATTGTTAGCATGAAAAAGACGACTAACGAGACATTTGAAATTTATATATGAAAACTATAAGTGATTTTTACATAATTTTCATATGAATTTTACTTAAAGCGCATGACACATAATTATTATTCAAATTAAAAAACCTCACATGAAAGTTCTACAAAAAAATTACGTGAATATCGTTTAAAGTTTTTCACATGAAAATTGCATGAAAATTTTTTACATGATTTTCGTATCATTTTTAAATAATAAGATAATGACATGAATTCCATGTGAGCCTCTTTTTCTGTGCAGTCCTTATAGTAAGCAAATATCAACATATTAAAATTAATGTTATTTTTTGTCAACGTTGAAGTGACCTTGAGACCATGCTGCTTGCCCGAGGTTAATTCCATGTGCAAATTTTAATCTTCAACATTGGAGTAATCAGTACTTTTGCTTCATATTTTTCTAATTATCTCCCCTTGTCTAAGGATCATGACCCAATGTTTTTTTTTTAAAGATGGGAGCTTTCAGGCCAAGGATATTTTGTGACAAATTTGAAAATAATTGACTAAGGGATTCTTGAGTTATGGCAAGTATTCTAAAAAGGTTTATGCACACTGTACAATGCATGCCGCACACAGAACCAATGGCAATAGCATTAGCTCTTTGAATCTTTAGCTCAGAGGAGCTAAAAATCTATCATTTTACAAGTGTCTTACCTTTGTAAGTCCACACGGAGAAGATTGATCCTTCTTGGTTATCTTTCTCTTTACTGACAACATCCTCAAACTTCTTAGTCATGTCCAACACAAGGATAAAGAAAGCCTTTGGTGTTACGTAAATTTGGTGACAGGCATAATATGCTAACTGGCCAGCAAAATCCAGCATGCTTACTGTTGGTAACTTCTCTTTTTCAGACAAGATTTTCTGAAAAACTTCCTCTTTCACCATAGCTGGAGCTTCTGAGGAGATAAGACTGGCCATTACCTCTACAGTACTTTCTTCTTCTGTGCCCTCCGTGGGTGAACTAGACATTTCCACATTCTCTTCTTTCTTTTCCTCTCGGCTATAAACTACTTCAGTGCTTTTATCAGTACTTCCTACTTCCAAATTTTCTTTTTCATTTGCATCAGAGCTGGCAACAGCACTACTGCTTGGGTCTGGTTTCAAATCTGCAGCATTTATTCTGATAAATGCCTTGAATGGTGAGTCATCATCGGCCACTGAAAAAGAGGAATGCTGTTATTTAGTTCTGTTTTCATTTAGCACATCATAGATTAATTATTTTGGCAAAAAAATTATAACTTGGTTCTCAGCCCTGTTTTTATAAGAACAAGAGATATTTGTAAAACACTTATGCCCTCCTCCCCCCAATTTGGAATTTTTCCAAGTCCAAAAGGGCATAACTCTGTCAAAAATGGTGCGATTGTACCCAAAACAAAACTCGACGAAGATATTTATCTGATAAATCTGTATACTAAATTTCATTTCAGTATGTGCAATGATTGTAAAGAAAATGAACGAAAACTGCAAATGATTGAAATTTTTCTAAGTTTAAGGGGAATAATTCTGTTAAAAATGGTGCGATTTATCCCAAACAGAACTTGATCTAGATATTAATATGATAAATCTGTATACAAAATTTCATTTCAAAGTATGTACAACGGTTGTGAAGAAAATGAATGGAATTTTTCTACTTGAAAGGGGTATAACTCTGTCAGAAAAGGTGTGATCATTCCCAAAACAGATCTTGACCTAGATATTTATGTGATATACCTGTATACCAAATTTCATTTCGGTATGTGCTATGGCTGCGAAGAAAACGAACGGAAGCTAAGTGGACTGACAGACCGACTTCGTTTTCTATAAAAAATATGTAGGGGGCGCTTTGACCAAAATTAGGGGGCGATTTGACCAATATTTGGGGGCGCTTTGGAAACTTCGTTTTTCTATAAAAATATGACAGGGGGCGCTTTGACCAATATTTGGGGGCGCTTTGGAATCTTCTTTTTTCTATAAAAATATGTCAGGGGGCGCTTTGACCAAAATCAGGGGGCGCATTGACCAAAATTAGGGGGCGGTTTTGTAGTATCATTTTTCTATAAAATAAGTCAGGGGGCGCTTTGACCAAAATTTGGGGACATTTTTACCAAAATCATGGTACGCTTTGACCAAAATCTGGGAACGCTTTGACCGGGACGGTTTTAATTGGGAACGCTCCCTTCTTGACAACCGTTCCAGATACTGAAATGAAATTTGGTATACAGATTTATCATATAAATATCTAGGTCAAGTTTCTTTTGACAGAGTTATGCCCCTTGGACTTGGTAAAATTCCAACTATCTATCAGGGGCTGACAAATAGATTTTTAAGGCACTTGCCCAAGGGCAAGTACATGGTCAAAATTCACTTGCCCTACCTGAATTTTTGCCTGCCCTACCATTTAACTTATACTGTATTTATAAATATTTCAAAAAAGAGAATGACAAATACTGAGTTTAATATTGACATACATATTGATTTTATTTTTGATAACTGATTAAGTAACTTGCCCTCGGGCAAGTGGTTGATAAAATTTCACTTGCCCGACCCTAAAATTCACTAGCCCCGGGCATTGGGCAATGGGATTTGTCATCCCCTGTCTATTATATGATGATTAAATATTTTCCAGCTCTATGATTGGCTGCTCTATATTGAATATTATAAGAACTAAAAATATGCCCAAAGGACATGAATGCCTTGCCCTGGTTTCATTAGTAAGGCAACGTAAAACATTTTTATTAGTGTATGAAGTTTGATGAAGATATCTTGAATAGTTTCTTTAATACTGCGTTTCATACAAAAACTCAAAAGGGTATTTCTATTTGAAAAGTGGCCTGTCTTTTTTATTTGTCTTTTGAAGATGTGTCAGAAATAATTCTTACCCTTTAAAACTCCATCTCTAACAATAAAGAGATGATGATGGACTTCCAGTCCCCTGGTGGACTCTGTAACTTCACTGACATCTTGACGTTTTCCTCTTAATCTCTTCAGCAGTGTTGTTAGTTCCCTGGACGACTTTGGAGCTTTGCTGACAGTTTGACTTTGCCCTCTTAATCGCTTCAGTAGCGTAGTTTTTCCAGCCTCAGCACATCCAACATGTATTCCTCTGGCATGGGAAACAGTTGTCTTCTCCTTCCTCAGAAACTTCTTCAACTCTTCCACTTTATTTATATCATCACTGCTTGGATCTATAACAATAACAGTCATGTTCTCAGAATGGACTTCAGAACAAATACATGAAGCAGAATTTGAAATTTTGTTTTAATGCACTTTACAGGTGTTCCAGAAAAAAATATGTTACTCTAGATCTGTTATTTTTATATCTTATTTTTCTATCGCATTTTCTGAAATCAGTTCCAGAATATTATCTGATTATTTTGCTTTGGTCATATGATTTACCTCATGGGCTAAGAACAAGGATTGAAATGAATCATTTCTTGTAAATAAAATTAATTCCACTGTATAAAGTTTACAAACATAAATACATGTAATACTATTTTTGTAGCAGAAAAATAGTTATGTCTTTTACTCGAGACACAAGAGGTCCATGGGCCACATGACTCACCTGACTAACTTTGTAGACGCCTTTTTTTAAAACCAGAAATCCACTCTTGTAATATACAATTAATTACCCCTTTTGAGGTCAACTTGGTGAAATAGGGACCTGAGACCTTACCCACGAGGTGACCTGACGGAGGTCATATCCTCTCCCTCCCGAGGGTCATGATTTGAACAATTTAGAATCAACACTACCCCAGGATGCTTCCACATAGGTTTCAGCTTTACTGGCCCAGTGGTTCTTAAGAAGAAGATTTTTAAAATTTTCCTACATATTTCAATGTAAAACTTGGAATCCCTATTGTAGTTCCACCCTATCCCCAAGGGGTCATGGTTTTAACAATTTAGAATCTACACTACCCAAGAATGCCTCTACATAAGTTTCAGCTTTTTTGGCCCGGTGGTTCTTGAGAAGAAGTCTTTTAAAGATGTTTCCTATATATTTCTATATAAAACTTGGATTCCCTATTGTGACCCCATCCTACCCCAAAGGTCATGGTTTTAATAATTTAGAATCTACATTACCCCAGGATGCTTCCATATAAGTTTCAGTTTTTCTGGCAAAGTGGTTCTTATGAGGAATATTTTTTAATGACCCACCCTACTTTCATCTTTTCTTGATTATATCCCCTTGTAAGGGGATTTGGCCCTTCATTTGGACAATTTGAATAAGTAAGTAAATTGTTTATTATAGTGACATGTGTTATACAGTACAATGAAAAACATTTAATACAATTAATATCCAAACACCCGGCCCATCGGACCTATATGTCACTTTTAACAAAATATATGAAAAATATATAAACAAATATTACGCATGGCGTTTTTTATACAACAGAGATTGTCGGTGCATGTATGAAAGGTATAAATATTTTGAGGTCTGTCTGGGAAAATTTGTTAAAAGAAAATTTACACTATCTTGATCGGACATAGACAAAGTTGGGTTACATCTAATACTGGTAAATAAATCTGATCTGAAATTGGAATATTCTGTACAATTTAATAAAAAGTGATACTCGTCTTCTATTTCATCTTTAGAACAAAAATTACATAACCTATCTTCTAATGATTCTCCTTAATATATCTTCCAGTTTCAACTCTAATTGGTAAAATTCCACATCTAAATTGAGCAAGAATAGATCTTTGAAATTTTGGAATATTCATTTCTAGGTAGTTTTCAGTATTAAAATGTGTTTTGAAATCTTTATACATACGTAATTTAGGTAGTTGCTTTATCTTTACTAGCCATTCATTCTCATAATTTAAAAGTAATCTTCGTTCAAATTCAACTATATCAAATAGTAATAACCTATGATAAACATGTTCAGAATTCACCGATTCAAATAGAGATTTAATTTGCGACGTCCAGCTATATTTATTACACTGATTTAGTTCCCACAGGAAAACATGTTTTGTTATGCGGTTGTCCTCCATGGTCAGTAAACGATTCCAGTATCGTACAGCGTTAATGCGGTGTCTATGGAAAGGCAGCTTCCAACCGAATTCTCCATGTAGTGCTGGTGTCGGTGTAAATCTGTGTACCCCCAAGTAGTAACGAAGTGCGCGATTCTGTACCATCTCAATGCAGTGATAGTTTCGAAGACCCCATATTTCACTGCAATAATCCAAAACTGGTGCTACACAATTTAGAAAAAGTTTTTCGAAAGTTGAGATCCCTATATCTTTATATGAACGAATTTTAGAAACCATCCCTCCGAAAGCACGTCCACCTGCTTTTGACAAAGTATCGGCATTATTTTGGAAACTAAGCTTTTCATGGAATATAACACCAAGGTATTTGTAATCCGAACTGTATTGTAGAATATTATCGTTGAGTTTAAACTGGAAATCACTGCGGGATCCTCGTTTACGGAAATGCACTACTGCTGATTTTTTCATATTTATACACAAGCGCCATTTTTTACACCATGTGGACACAGTATCCAAAATTTTCTGCATATTTTCTGTAGAATCGGATAATAGTGCAATATCATCAGCATACAGCAATATACTTAGATTTATGTCTCCTACCGGTACGCCTTTGTTCATATTTTTAATTTCTTTTGCAAGGTCGTTGATAAAAAGAGCAAAGAGAGTTGGTGATAGATTGTCTCCCTGACGAACCCCAGTTGAGCTTTGAAACCAATCTGTGCTTATGTCGTTTATCCTTACATGTGATATTGTGTTTCCATAGATAGTTTTTATTGCATTGTAGAAATCTCCGTCTATTCCATTACTTAGAAGTGAAAATTTTAAGAGGTCGCGATCCACTGTATCAAAAGCTTTCTGTAAGTCAATGAATGTCACAAATGTTTCTTTTCTATTCTGTATAATACTGTTGAGTGTGAATACGTGGTCCGCACATGAGCGTTCACGTCGAAATCCATTTTGTTCGTCAACCAGCAAATTGTTATCTTCCAGATATGCTACTAACCTATTGTTTAGAACCGAGCTGTACATTTTATAAATGGTTGATAATAAGCTAATTCCTCGATAATTAAGTGGTACTCTTGGGTCACTGTTAGAGTCTTTTAAAATAGGACATATTATAGCTTGGCGCCATTCGGAAGGTATAATATTAGACTCAAAACATAACATAAATAATCGATGAATAACTTCTATAACACAATCATATTTCAAAACTTAATACGGGATTTCGTCAACCCAAGGGGATTTTCCGTTTTTAGATTTCAGGATGACATCTTTGACCTCCCAGAGTTCTATAGATCGATTTAGTTGAGGATTGTGTTCTCTTAAAGGGTCAAGCATGTTACTTTCCATAAAGTTGACTGATTCTACAGCTTGTTGGAGAAAGGTGTCATTGTAAACAGTGTCTGTTTGGAGAGGATTGTATAAATTAGAGAATTCCGAGTGCTAAAAAATGCCATACATTTTAGTAAATGTACCCAGAGAGCTTTAACTAACTGTCCCTGAAAAAATACCTGTTTTGGGGTTTATCCCCCAAACTTTGCATGTACACTGAAGTTAATGCAAGTTATATAAAAGTAGGTGGTTCAGTAGAAATATAAAGTCCCGTCAACTGTATAACACTCTTTGGAGAGGATTATATTTTATTTTTCCTTTTAGGCCCAAGAGATTTAAGTTCTTCCCAGAATCGTTTCGGATTTTTTGACGAAAAGTGTTCAAGACTAATGGCTAGGTCCAGGTTGTATTTACGTCGAAAAAATCGCATTCGTCTGTCGAGGTCATGTTGAGCTTTCTTATATTCATCAAAAGCTTTTTGTTTTAATGCGTGTTTCTCTTTTTTGTATTTTATACACACTTTTTCTTTATCCCGCATGGTACACCATAAATCAGTGAGTTCATTATTCCAGTAAGGTTTTTGTGTGCGAAATTTTTTACGTGAACTTTTAGACCAGTCATATTTTGGAATCTTACACTCCATTTCCTTTGTTATAACATTGCACAATTCTTTGTATGTTCTATCAATGTTTTCTTGTGATTCTCAATGCTTCTGATTATATTCAATAAACAAGTTCTTGTGTTTGTTGAGGACATAAAAGATTGTGGGATACATCGCATTTTGTATTTCTTAAATGGAGGTGGGGAGTCTGTATTTTTGTGACCGGTTGATTTTAAATCCTCTCCTAAATCTCTTATCTTAAAGTCAAACATTAGAAATCCATGATCGGGAATTCAACAATTTTCACCCTGTAAGTTTACTAATCCAGCATTTTCAACAATCTCATTACACGAAATTATCCGGAAATCTGAGCACTGATAATAAACATCTTGCGGAACACAAATATAGTCGACCACGGAGTGTCCTCTAGTAGATCGAAATGTATAATCATTTGACTCATCACCAAATCTACCATTCAGAATGCAGAATTTACAGTCATTAAGAAATTCTATGAATGAGTTTCCATGTTGATTTTGCACACTATCAATGTATAGTTTGGGTGGTATACTATCAAGGTCCTTATCAAAGTCATGTATATTCCCAATGCGTGCATTCAAATCGCCACATATAAATATTGCATCAGTATCATACTGCATGTAAATCTGAGTAAGGAGGTGTGAGAAAAAAGATGACGCATCACGACCCCATGGTGAACTTTCAGGTGGTAAGTAGCAAGAGAATACAACAAATGTGAAGTCTGATTGTTTGTTCGTAAACTTTACTCCTAGAATTCCATCCACTGAATTGTCTATTATATCTGTAGTAATTTAGTTTAATTAGGAAAAAATTGTTTTGTTTACATAATTCTTTAACGGTCACTCATTGTTTATATAACTATTTTTAGAGATAGCTACTCGATGCTCCTCCCGAGGATCGGTTAGTTTGACCCTTACGTAATTCTTTTGTTTTGAACGCGATGCTCCTTATGAGCATCGGCCAGCGGGTATATATATGGGGGAAATTTTGGGTCAGTTAGTTACTGTTTCGCTGGAATTAATTAGTATAGTCACTGTTTTACTTGGGATTTTTTTGTACATAGACCGTTCAGAAGATAGTAGATTATTGTGTAAATATTAATATTGTGATGTGTTTTATGGGCACCTGTCCCTGTAAATAAATTGTGTATAAAACTTACTAATCATTTTATTTCAAACAAGGAGGAGATTTTAAGACAGAGGAACATTATTTTTACTGAATAATGGATTAATTTAGCCGTTTACCGCTCGACGGCACTACAACTGGTGGCAGCGGTGGGATTTTCAACATTATTCCAGTGATTTTAATTTATTATTTTTGTGTGTGTGGATTTATTCAGTGAATTATATACTTGAAGATGAGGAAATTTTCTTATATTACTTTGTACACTATTCAAAAGAACGGATCTGGATTTAGAAAGTCTATAGTGGATACGGAAAATTACAATCTTACATGTGAAAATTGCGCTAAAGTATTTCCAAGGAATCAGGCAAAGAACAAAGTGTTTATGTCTTGTGAAAATTGTGAGCTTTCCGTGTTCAAATTCAGATGCGTAAATTGTGATCATGTGAATAGCTGCTAGTGTGCGGAGGAAAATTAGTGTACAGTGACACTATTATTATTGTTACTATTATTCACTATTAAAGTGAATAATTGTGTTTTTAAAATACTAGAAATGGATTCCAGGAATAA